CTCACTGTTTTGGTTTTGTGGCCCACAGCTTTACTGTTTGGTCTCACAGCTCTCATCTGCCTAGTTTCCAGTAGCAGAAGACAGCTGTGTTCAGTTAAAATAAACTCTGATAAGCCCACCATACACTACCTGCTCAGCAGCAAACACTAGACAGACCGCATTAGAGCCGGTGAACATAGTACAGCAATTAGATTTTTTTTTTTTTTTTAATAAAAGTTGACAGAAACCCAACCTGAGCTAACAGGAGAGTGAATATTGTACATATCCATCATGCAGGCTGAAATTGACTTTTAATGAATACTAATGTTGTTTTGTGCCTGCTGGATGTTGTAATGCAACTCGTTGCCAAACTATTTGGCTTATCAACTTTATAAGGTTGTTTTGATGCCCCAGGGTACCCAAAAAGATATTTTATGTAGTTTTATGGTAGTCTTAGTATTAATCATTCCCTCAAATCGTGTACATGTAAATGTTCTGGGAAACTGTTACATCATGGAAAGCCAAATCTTTAGCAGTGACTTCCTGCTACAGTAGGTGGTGTAACAAAAACATTCATCACAACACACATCTTTGGGCAATCCTTCCTTTCCGCCTGCTCCATTAAATCAAACTTTCTAGCATGTATTCATTCAATTTTATTTTATTTGTGGAGCATCAAATCACAACAAAAGTCATCTCAGGACATGTTACTATTATTATTACAAAGGGAAAACCCAACAAATCCCCATTGAGCAGCACTTGGTGACACTGGGAAGGAAAAAAACTCCCTTTAACAGAAAAAATCTCTGACAGACCCCGGCTCTTCGTGGGCGGCCTTCTGCCTCAACCGGTTGGGGTGAGTGGATAGAGGAGAGAGAAAAGAAAAGAAATCAACAAGACACGACAAACACAACAACACACAATAAAACACTGGTCAGGTTGTTGTGGCTGGTGACTGCTCATCAGAGACGTAAGGCTCCAGACCCAGGGCAACCTGCAGAAAGGTACAGGTAGAGAGAGAGGACACACTACGGGAGAGCGGAGACACACAGTTAGTGATGTGCAATAGTGGCATATAGATGAATGGTAAGAGAGGAAAGGAAAGGAACTCAGAGCATCATGCCCCCCCCCCCCCAAAGAGGGATGGATGCCATCTCTCC